CAGGAAAGAAATGAATAAATAAATAGCCAAAATATTATGTAAATTTTGCAAGGAGTAATAGGATAGGAATCATCAATAAAAGTATGTAAGGTGCGAGGAAGATTAAATATTATATTTAATGTCCAAGGGGAGTTACATGTGAAAGAGGAAGTCTATCTTAGACTGGACATGGATGAGGTTGCCTTGACCAAAGGTGAGGAAATATTATGAGAAGCGAATGTCCACATTTCTCTTCATGCCCTCAAGAGAATTGTTGCAGGCTACACATTGCAATTGAAATGATTGATTAAAAAGTAGGAGGTACTATTGTTTATGGACACCGGTAACATACACAATTTCTTAAGTGAAAGATGGGCAAAGATATTGGGCATCAAAACGTAATTCATTAAGGATTTCCCTATGATCGTGGCAAATGAAAAACATATTGTTATCAGCAAGAAGTGTGAATAAGTGAAATGGAGATTTCATGCACATACCTTTGTAGGGTATTTCCTAATCTTACCTAGATCAAATTATGGAGCAATCATGGGCATGCAATGGCTAAAAACTCTAGGTGATATATGTTGGAACTGTGCTAAACTAACTATGAAGTTTGAGCATGCAGGTAAGATAGTCATGTTAGAAAGGGAGAAACCATCTTAAGAGACTTGAAAAATAGCTAAAAAATTGAAAATAGTCACATGGCAAGCCATGTTGTTTTCAATTAATAGTCTAACTTATATCAACATAGCCACAAGTTAGGATGACAGTAGTCTCACACTAACTCAAGAAACTGCTTTGAAAGTTTTTTACAGGATCTTCAACACTTGTTTTTGAAACCAACTCATCTACCACCCAAAAGAAAGTATGATCATAAAATCAACTTATTTGACGAGACTCCGGTATGTTTGAAACCATATATGTACCCACATGGACAAAAAGCAAAAATTGAAAGAATGGTCTAGAAGATGTTTGCCACTAGATTTATAAGGGAGAGCAATAGTGCCTTTGCATATCCAATTATTCTGATCAAGAAAAAGAATAGAAGTTGGTAGTTTTGCATTGACTTCAGGTGCCTCAATGTAGCTACAATCAAGAACAAGTTTCCTATTCCATTTATAGAGGACCTACTTGATAAACTGCATGGTGCAACTTACTTCTCTAAGTTAGATTTAAGGAGTGAATACAACCATATTAGAATGGTAGATGAAGACATACATAAAACAACTTTCAAAATACACAATAGTCACTATGAATGAGTGGTCTTACCATTTGGACTGACCAATACTCCAGTAACATTCTAGAACTTCATGAATGATATTATTTTATTACACCTCAGAAAATTTATTCTTGTTTTCTTCAATGATATATTGGTCTATACTAAAACATGGGAGGATCATCTAAGGTGTTTAAGAACCGTACTTCAGATTTTGGAAGTAAATTCATTAGTGTTAAACTACAAGAAATGCAGCTTTGGTAAGAAAAGGGTGGACTACCTCAGACAAGTCCTATCATTTCAAGGTGTGGAGCCAGATCAAGATAAAGTGATGGTAGTACAATAGTGGCCTAGTCCAAAATTTGTGAAGAAGTTAAGAGGTTTTTTTGGAGTTATTGGGATACTACATAAGATTCTTTAAAAATTATGAAAAAAACTGTCATGCCACTCACATTTCTCTTACAGTAACATGTGAAATTTAGTTGACCACGTGAAGCTGAAGCTGCCTTCTAGCATTTGAAGAATGCCTTAGTGACATCAACAATTTTGGCACTACCTAATTTTGAATGTCCATTTACAATTGAAATTGATGTCTCAAGTCATGGAATTTGAGTAGTATTACTACAACAAGAGCATCCTATAGCTTATCTTAGTAAAGCCATGGGAAATAAATATAATCTTTTATCAACTTATGAAAGAGAGTTTTATGCTATTCTCTTCGCAATTAAAAAATGGCAACACTACTTGCTTGGCCATTACTTCACTATCAAGATAGATCAAAAGGCTCTTAAGTATTTGTTAGAACAACCTCCTATAAATCTACTGCAGAACTGGAGTCTTGAGAAATTGATGGGTTTAGACTTCAATAAAATGTTGTGGCAGATGTCTTGTCTAGGAAGGAACCAGAAGGGAGCATTGCTGCAATTTTTCAAGTGGTATCACAGCTGTTGGAGGAAGTAAAGTAATCATGGGATTAGGATCATAAATTAAGAAAGATAATTGATAGAATTACATTAACTCGATAGCCTCACAAGCATTATAATTGGGAGGGAGGAGTTCTTAAGAGAAAAGGATGATTGGTGATAGGCTCCGATCAACAACTCAAAAACAAAATTTGAGATACTTTCATGATTCACCAATTGGAGATCATTCTAGGATTGACCAAACATACAAGAGAATAAAAGAATGTTTTTATTAGAAAGGATTATAGATATCTGTCAAGAACTGGATCAAGGAATGCATGACTTGTCAAAGGTTTAAGCCACAGTTACAAATATCTATTGGACTCCTACTGCCTTTGCCTATTCTTAGGAGAGCGTGACAATCCATCTCTATGGACTTCATAGTAGGTCGACCATGATCTAGGCATGATAGTAATATTGGTGGTAATTGATAGGCTTACAAAGTATGCCTATTTCATACCCTTAAGCCATCCATTTGGTATTGCTAAGGTAGCCAACTTGTGGTAAAATTGCATGGTTGGCCATCTAAAATAATATTTGATTGTGACCTTGTATTTATGAGTGCTTTCTAGAGCGACCTTTTCATGAAACAGGGTGTCAAATTACTCAAATCCATAACATTTCATTCTCAAACTGATGGTCAGTCTAAGGCACTAAATAAGGCATTAGAAGGATACTTGAGGTGTGTGACAGGATGTTCCTATACAATGGGCAAGTTACTTGCCTTTGGTTGAACTCATGTACAATATGAAGTTCCATTCAACAACACAGATGACTCCTTTCAAAGTATTATATAGGTATCTCCCAACCTTAAACACGCCACTCTTGGTAGGAGACTCTTTAACAGCAGTAGTTGATTTCACTATCAAGACGAGAACAAATTGCAAGCATATTGCAAGAAAATCTTATAAAGGTCCAGGATAGAATGAAATTATATACAAATAAAAGAGGGTAAATCATGAGTTTAAATGTAGTGATTAGGTATATCTAAAGATCCAACCTTACAAGCAGCACTCATTACCCAACACTTCCTTTCACAAGCTCAAAGCAAGGTACTATGGTCCTTATTTGGTAGTGGAACGCATTGAAAATGTTGCATATAAGCTGAACTTACCAGGAAGAATAAAAATACACAATGTATTTCATGTTTCTTATATTTCACTTCTGAAGAGGCATCATAGCAAACATCCAGTATCTTAGCAGTTACCTTTACTTACTGAAGATGGAGAGTTGCAAATCAGACCATTCACTATACTTGATTGCAAAATGAAAAAGAAAAGGAATCGAGCGGTAATAGAAGTTCTAATCCAATGGGAGCACACGAACCCAGAAAACACTATCTAGTAAGAATTGCATGCTATAAAGCTATAATTTCCAGATTTTGAATGGAATCCATAGGATGATCACATGCAGATATAGGCCTTGAGGGTAAGGCCTTTTCTAAAGTTGTAATAAGTAAATATAAAAGCATAAAAGTGGGGAGCAGAATAGAAAAAATAATTAATGAATAAAAATTAAAAAAGTAGTTGACTGTTAAAAAGCTTGCGTAGTTAGGGGATCGATAACTAGTTTGGTTTGAAAGATATAGACGTTGTAACAAGAAATAAAAATTCATGTATTTTAATAAAAGTTTAGTTTAGTTCCTTGTAAGAGGCCTTTAAACACTTCTCTATAAATAGTGTGTATTTAGCTGGTTAAAGATGAATTGCTAGATTCAAATTTAACATACACTAAATGCGATACATGGCTTCATTTTTAAGTCGTCTCCTCACGCATCATGTCTCTCAGAGCGATTTAATTCCAACACCAAGGACTCTTCCTTGGATTCTACCTACATTCCATTCACTCTATTGCAGATGAGCTCACTTTAATTGGACAGCCGACGTTATCCTTGTCATCCACACCCTCAATGGTCTAAGGTCAAACTTTCGCGAGTTCATTGCCTCTATAAGGACACGAGACTTCCTTATCTCATTTGGTGAGCTCTATGAAAAGTTGCTGGATTTTGAATTTTTCCTCCACCGTGAAAATCGTCTCTAACAAGTCACCGTAATAATTGCAAATTATGCACAACATGAATTCAAACTTGATTCAAACGAAAATTTAAAAGTAAAATCAATTATCTCATAAAATTATCCAACATGGTAGCACAAATTTTAATCCACATTTATTCTTCAAACTTGAATTTGAGAACGTTGAACACTGGTCCACTCATCCAAGCAGCTATTGGGTTACTAGGTCTGCTGGGACCCCTCCTCCAATCACCAACTCATACACAAACGTTAATGCTGGGGATTGCTTCCCTTGCGTGAATGCACTTGTGACAATCATTTCTGTCATAAATATGTCTATTTTATACAGTCTATACTTCCGTAAAATCTATTCCTTATTTCAATGATTGATTTTTTTTCAGAAAATGCTTTTGAAAATTAACCTGGTCTATGTACAAGGAGATGTCTTTTTACACCCTTACATTCTCTTTCCTCTAACTTTTCTATTCAACAAAAACAAAACTTACAAATTATTTCTTCGCGTTTTCTCTTAAACAAAATTTTCTCTTCTTTTTCACTCCATTCTCTTTTTTCTGTTGTTTTCCTCTTATTTTCCCCCCTTTGCTAAACAGGTATAAATGTAATATGTCAACAGTTTGTTACTAGTGTTTAACATCTAACATCAAGGAATAGAAAGATAAATGTCTTACCATCTCGAGGTTTTATCAACTCCAGTGATAATCAACGATCTTTACAATTATAGAGAGCAAAGTGAAAATTTACTGATGGAGGAAACTTTACAATTTACATGTAGCAGATAAACAACTATTGGATCGCTTATACAGCCATGTGATATAGAAAAGCAAATATAATTTTCGGTTTAGCCTTAATTTATACAATGAACTCAGCATATCCAATATTCTTGGAGGGAACAGAGCCGATTAAAATATGCAATCATACACTCACTTTTTTTTTTTCAGAAACAAGAATATTGATAGGTGTTGCATTGTAAAAAAATCATCAACTACAAGTTGTAATTATCAAGTCCCAAATCCCTCAGCGCATCTGTAGCAGCATCCTTACAGTTGGTATGCGTTTGTTTTGCTTTCCTTATGCATTTCTCAATTCCATTATTAAGCAAAATAGTTCTGTCTAGTAGAAAATGTGTAAGCAGGCAACCATAGTGAGGTAATTAGATTGGCAATCTTCTGTCTCTATAACTAAGCCACACTCGCCTCATAAAATATGCTAGAAGGCAAAGATGACAAAACTACAGAAGCCAGAAAAACAGAAAAATGCAAAGAATGTATGATCAAATGTCTTGCATTATAAATATCACAAACTATAAACTTGCCTGTTCTCTGGATTTCTCACTGCTAGATTTCTGATCATAAGACAGGAATTTCTTTGCATTTGGTGTGCTGTAGGAAATTTCTGCATGGCTTGAATAGCAAGGTCACCAGCACCAGCTTCAATGGCACGGGCTGCATTTTCTGGGGATCTTAAAGATAGCACAGAAATAATAGACATAATCTGTGCCACAGATAAAAGCAATGATATGAAAACAGGTATAAGACGTACAGATACAAACAGAAAGGAAAGCAAGCATATCAGCAATTCATAGATAAAATTTTGTCCAGGATTTGGCCTGATATAATTTTCATAAATGTTGAAATGGAATAATTCAGTGGATAAAATATCATTAAATCAAATAATTTTACTGGTATCAGGATGTTTTAAACTAACAGTAATTTTACACTGGCTCCCTAAACAGATATTGCAGGATCTCACCTCTTGCAAAACAGAAGGGTCGTCAGCATATCTGGCTGAAAGTTTGATTAGCTTATCCATACCTCCTTTCCCAACAATTGCACTCTTGTTCACGTCACTTCCTGCTAACTGATCAATTAAATAAATAAAAGGAGTCATTCAACTTAGAAAAGCAAAAAACATAAGAAAAGAAAACCTATTAACATTATTAAAGCAAAAGAGAGGCCATACTAAGGCACTCAACATCATTAAAGGTCAGTTAGTGAAGGATAGCCTCTGTTTGAGCCTAAGAAGCAAACTAATAATGAATATTGTTTAAGGTCATTATTGCTACCCACACTTCTCAAGTATCACATTATTCACATCATATTATATATACAAATTCACTTTTTCTAATGTGTGTCCAAAGGTACATGTTAAGAAACATTAAATATACCCTATTAAAGGCCTTACGTTACTATAAAAAGTATGGATTGAATACATTTTATGAATTTGAGATATTAAATGTTTTCATTTTGAATAACACTTTTCTACTTTTAACTTTGTAACATGATCTCAGAGAAACTTCTCATTTTGAGATACTAAATAAAACTTTTAACAGAAAAAGGTTTCTTCCTTTTCCCAGAATAGAAACCCAAGCAGCCCAGCAGAACAGGAGAGAAAGAGATCTCAGCAGAGAGAGAAATCTCAGCAAAGAGCAGAGAGAGATTGCAGGGATAAGAGAGGAAAAAACCTTGACTTTAGGGTTGGGTCGTTTGGACCGGGTCGGATGCTGGCCCAAACTTGCAAAAAAAAAATCCATTTTTTTACCAAAAACGCCATATTTCCACTGTTTCTGCCATGGCCGCCGGTACCGCTATGCGTGTAACGGCCGCCATGACGCCGCCACGAAAATCTGCCACGCCACACCATACCTGTAATAGGGTCCCTCAAAACTGCCACGCCATTCCGCCATAGCACCGCCATAACCATTTTTTAACAACAATGATCCATGGTCACTCCTTTAGTTGAAATCATATGACAAAGATACTCTATCTCTTGTCTACCAAATTGACACTTCTATTGGTTCAACACCAACTCATGGTCATGCAAGCAGCCCAAAACATGCCTCAAATGAAGGATATGAGACTTCCAATTAGAATGTCATAAAAAAATACCAACACAAACTTCCTCAAGCAATGTTTAAACACATACATCATTCATTAAAAACTAAAAAGTAGCTGGTGCATTCATCAAATCAAAGGACATAACTAAATATTCATAATGTCCATCATGGGTACTAAATGCAGTTCTAGGAATTACTTCTTCTCTTACCCGAATCTGGTGATAACCAAACTTTAAGTCCAGCTTTATGAAGTAAAAAGCTCTATGCAACTCATCTAATAACTCTTCAATAACGAGTATCAGATACTTGTCCAGAATTGTGGCTTTATTGAGAGCTCTATAATTGACACACATTCTCTATGTAAGGTCCTTCTTCTTTACCAATGTCCATTCTCTACTTGTTTCTATTTTAGTTGTTTGATAATGGGGGTACCTATAGAGTTGAACATTCACTATTCTTTCCCCTTCCCTATATTTTAAAGTGAAAGTATGCTCTTTAGATCTCTTGGGAGGTAACCCTTTTGGCTTTTGGAAAAGCTTTGAGAATTTTTCTAAAATTTGCCGCACATCTTTTCCTGCTATGGGGTCAAGGTTTTGTACCAAGCCCCACTACCTTTTGGGCCTTGGTGGACCAAACTAACCCTTCAACCTCCTGCTCTTCTTGATTTAGAAAGCTAAAGAGAGAATCATTTCTTCTTCCAAGAATAGGCTCACCCTTCAACTCAACGCCTTTTCCATCCCATTCAAATTTCATGATCCGCTGCCTCCAATTAGTAGTGACTTCTCCTAATGTGGCCAACCATTCCACACCTAAAATTAAGTTGACCTCTTTTATATCAAGCACATAAGAATCAATGCATATTTGCAAGCCTTCCAACTCAACTACTACTCCACTACACCTCTCTTGCACTTATTTTCAGTTCTAATCCCAAGGACTCAATAATCTTCATTGAGATGAATTTATGACAAGTTCCGCTGTCAACCAAAATTACCAATGAAACCCCCTTGATTTTTCTTTTTATTTTCATGGTTTTGGACAGAAATCCAACTCGACCCACTGCATAACAATTAAGAGCAGAACACTCCAGCTCCCTACTAGGATGCTCCTCCATCTCCAAGGCTAATACCTCCTCCCCCTCCTCCGATTGCTCATCATCCACAATGATTAACTTAAGTTGTCACATTCGGGGCATTGATGTATAGGGTGAAAGTATTGGCCACATTTGAAACACAACCCCTTTTGCTTCCTCTTCATTAGTTCACCATATGATAAGAGACGGATTTCTCGATCTTTCCCATTATTGACTCCCCTTTCTCCAGCCCCATCATTGTTAGGAACTGAGAGAATTAGGAAGAGAAAGATAAAAGAAGTTTATAGAAATGAAGAGATATAACTTCCAAGAGTTCCCCCAGAGTTAACACTCCAAACAGAGAAAGAGACTTTCTCCCAATTACAATCAAAAAATCAAAACTAACTTTTACAAGCAACTCACTTAGGTATTTATACAACAAAGCCTTATACTCACACACATGATTACTAACTAACTGATGTAATTAATTCTTCTTTCTTCTAACATAAACCTGACGCGTCTTAGGACTCTTAGCCACATCTAAGACTTGTTCTTCTTCTATGCGCCTAACAAACATTGCCCAAAGTTAAACCACCAACCTTCCTGTCTTCCTTTCAAAACTTCCTATTTTGTGTTTCACTTAAATTTCCACTAAGTCGTGCCATAAGCAAAGGCTTTGTTCCAAGACGTGGAAATATAGGGCGAGAGTAACCCCCATTTCCTATATTTGAGCTCCTCCTATACGTTATTTTATATTGCACATCCCCTAACAAGTTAGCCTCAATTGCTCTTGCCGACTCCATTATCCTTACCTTATTATCAAGTTTATGAATATGAACCCTTCGTCAAATCTTTGCCCGAAGAGCATGCATAAAGTAGGCCATGAACTACTCTGGCATTTTGGGAACCTGAGAAACTAGATATTCAAACTCTACGCTATATGAATCCATACTCCCATCCTATTGTATTTCTGCCAAACTCTCAAAAGGATTCTCCATTAGAGACCCTCCATACCTCCAATTTTGCCCTACTTTCAGGTTATCCCATGATGACTCTGGCTCATTCTCTATCCATAGATAGAACCAATGAACCATATCCCCTCCATGGAGATTTTGACTAGTCACACCTTTATCTCTGGCCGAGTGTCCTGAACTTGAAAATATATCTCAGCTTGAGTAACCCAAGCACCTAGGTCAGTGTCATCAAACCCCGAAAGCTCAACCTTCTTTACTGCACATCAAAACTCTGCCATCATTTTAAATAAAAGAGAATTACTCTCTCTCCTCTAACCACCTTCCCACTACTCAGGCCACATCCCTCTTCTTCTTGAGGACATAAACTTTCCAAGCTTTAATATTAGTTCCCACTTCATCGACTAGAGGCTCCTTGAGCCCAATTCCCTTATGGGCTCCATCAGTTCCACTCCCTTTGTATGCTTAGGCATACAGCTCCATTAGCTGCTCTCTGATTAGAGCATCCAGCAGGTCGGACCAAATCAAAGATACGAAAAGTATTATTAACAAAAAAGAAAATACTGCAGAAATCTTTTCTGCAATACCCAAAGCAAAGCTCCTACAAAGGTTCGCACCCTTGCCCACCACTAATAGATGAAAAGCATAACTAACCCCTTCTCTCTCTTCCCTCCCACTATATGAAACATTACACGTCAACTTGCTCTCCATAACTAAGTTTTCTCTCTAATTCCCATTCTGCCCCTTCCTATTTCTCCTACTATATGTTTTCCAAATAAGGCCCATGACAAAGTTGGCTGGACTTGTCCACTTAGGTTCATGGGACCTAACATATACACTATAAGAGTAAGACAATGAGAAAATGAAATCCAAGGTAGAATTGAAGGTCAAATTGATTGCATCACAAGAACGGTAATTATTGGATGTTAATGAAATAATTCATTGCTTACTCAAGCTTTTATGGAAGCTTAGTGACTTTTCATCAACATTATAATCCCCCATTCCCCAGCCCCCTAAAAAGAGGATAATATTCACATTTGTATTTTAAAAATAAAGACACAAGGGATATCTACAACACAAATAAAGCACGCTCAGGTTCAAGTCATAAAATTTTAAAACACAAAATAAAAATATTCAAAGAGAATTTTCAGCTCAAGAAGAAGGGCTAATTCAACAACCATCAAAACAATAACAACCCTGTTATTTTTCTCATAGAAATAGAAATTATAAAAATAAACAATAACAAAAATACCCGGGTGACCTGTCCAAAGAAACATATTCAACATATACCTTTGAAAGTAATGAGCAACAAGCTTTGGCCACAGCTTTGTTGCCTTGTTCACCACTGTCATCTATACATCTGAGTACTGCATCAATACCACCTTTCTCTGCAATGGATTTACATATTTCATCCTGCAACATAAGATAAAATATACTCAACAGAGATAACACAAGGCAATGCATACTTGTATTGGTACTTACATTTGACAATGTTAGTAAGGATGACATAACATACCAAATTTTAAACCTAGAAAAAACATAAAAAATGTAAGAGGGATAAAAAGTAAAAGCTAGACTTCATGCCACCTTGCTGATAAATCTGGCAACTGCAAGTCATTGTCTATATATACAGGCAAGTATACTCACCATTAGCCCTAATTTTAATTTCCACTAACATGTCAACCAGTTTCTTCATGAAGAAGGAAATCTCAGAAAGTAGCCTCATCTGACTCAAGAAATAGAAATCATTGTAGCAAGTAGCAACTCAACCTTTGGGCATCATAAAGGGAGAAACCGTACACCAAAGCTCCTTGGCTTTTCAATGGCTATTTTGAGTCAATAATCAAGGATGATTGTGACAATTTGTGTAGGACTAGACACAATAAAAATAATTTAAAACCATTTATATCGATCCAATGTTTATTTTCCTATGAATTTCCAATACAAGCACAAGTTTTCATACTTGATGTAGGATTAAATTTTAGATCACTTACATTTACAGCAATGGCCTTTAAGGTGATGCATGCTGAAAATAGGTCAGGTGAGCTTAGCCCTGCATGCAGAGAATCCACAAGGGCCTCTGCAATTCCAATCTTTGCAAATTTCCGTGCATAACCATATACCTGAAAATGGAACATATTGAATGCTTTAAGTCATGATGTACACATAACTGAAATGATGGCAATTTTACAATTTCAAAAGACCTGAATTAGGAAATATCCCATTCATTATTCACCAAATTAAGAGCCAATTTGGATAATTTTTCAATAAACACATATAGGAGAAGAAAATAAAATGAATCAAGTTATCAAGAAGGTAAATGAATTAAAATTCTCATATAAGTTAAAATCAATTTGAACAACTCAACTCTTTCAAAAGTTACCGTGTTTAACATTTCCATAAGTTCTCTCATCTACTCATTCATAACCATCTAATCAATTTATAAGCTCCCTCATACTTATTTAAATTGAAAAGCTTCTACCACCTAGAAGCTTATCAAAGTTGAGCCTGAGTTTCTAACTTCGCATCCTTTTCTTCTCTACTTACAAGCGTCCGCATGCGTGCACAATCAGCGGCGACACTTCAAAGATTGTTTGGTTAAAGAAAATATTTTGTTTTCATTTTAACAAATAATCACAAAAAATAACCTTACTTTCACTCTGCATTCTATTTTCAAAGATTTGTATACAAAACAACCAAAACAGAAAGCAAAGTAAAAATGTGACATGTTTGTAATCAGTTGCAAAAACAAAGAAACACCAAACAGACCCTTATTTCTTCAACTTATATCACCTCATACAAAGTCAATCAAGCATCCTCAACTTATAGCATGTTTCGATTTGCATTTAAATGCTTATGGATCCATGTTCATTTCAACATTACTATTTGTAACTAGTGTGTTGGCTCCATTAAAAGATCTTGTAACGCGAATCCGCACACACTTACTTGAGAAGCCACAACTCGACTGTCGTCAGGCGTTAAAAGCACACGAATAGCCTCATATAAACTTTGGATTCCCTTGTTCTTATGCATGGACATTATCTCCATAATGAGCTCGTCAACCTTCAACTCCATAAACGCCTCCTTCACAATCTCATCCCCAGTCGCAGCGGAAGCCACAACGCGAAAGCCGCTACTTAAAACGTCGACGTTTGGCTTGTAATCAATCAGGAACCCTATCACAATCCTCGGTCCATCACAGCTATGAAACGTTCCCGTGCTTTGAACATCTGTAGAAACAGGGAAACAGAAATTGAGAAGAGTGGCGGTAAAAGGAACAAGTGAAGGAAAGATCTGAATTGTGAACCGTGAAGCAAAGATGCCAATGCGTTTAAGGAGGAAACGAGGGGAAGGTGTGATCCAGTGGCAGAAAGAGGAATCTTTGAACAGAGAGAACAAGTCAATTGAACGGCGCCGTTTTTGGTCGCAATGGATGCATTTGAATTTGCATTTGCATTTGCGTTTGAACACAAGTCGTTGAGTTCATGGAACGCTTCCGCTAATTCATTCTGATTTAACGAGTGGGGTTCTTCGGAGAGGAGCAGTTTGAGGGTGTGTAAGCAGTCTAAGACGGGGTGAGTGTTGGTGTCTCCCGGAAGGCGTGTGACGATACCTGCGAAACGATGGCGTTTAGAGAGGGGAAATGGAAGGGTGAAAGAATCGGAAATGGGGGGCTGAATGACCTGAGAGATCGACGCCTTGGAGAGTGAGGGTTTCGATGGCGTCTTGAAGGGCCTCTTGGGGGTCCATTCCGAGGTCGTCTATGTTCTCCTTCACCACCTCTTCGAATGCTTCCTGCGATATCGCACGCATTGCTCTCTCCTCTCTCACTCTCTGTTTCTTACTTGTCACCACAGAAGAAGAGAACCCCCAATGTCAACTATTTCCGGAAAGATTTGCCCTGTAAGGCTACATAAATGCCCCTCTAAGACACTCGTTTCAGCACAATTTTAGTATTTCATAAATTTATTAAAAATTATAAAAACATGAGACTTACTTTTAATTCTTAATTTAATAATTTCTTAATTTTTTCCATATTTTTTAATAAAGTGTATTTAAAAGATCTTCTTAAAAATTGGATTTTTTTATGATTTTTTTAAATTACAGAAATATGAATTTTCTAGCAAAATTAGAAAAAACCAAATGACATTTTCAAACGTCATATGTATGTAATTTTAAAAGAAATACGATATTTCGGTATATATTATATATAAAAAAATAATTTTCTAAAAATCATGTTAAAACTATCTATATAGGTTTTGAGTTGGTTTGGATAAGTGACATGTGTGGCAGTAAAATAAAATGTTGTTACAGGTGATAAAAAAAAGTGGAAAGCCATGACATTAGGGTTGTGGGTCAATCATTTTTGGTCAAATTCAATTCACTAAAACTTAATTTGTTCCTAGGAAACCATTTTTAATTTGTTCCTAGGAAACCATGTTTGCCTAATGCCAGTCTTGGACTTATCGTCAACGAGTTTTGGGAGTTAGTAGTTTTGTTTATACAACCAGCACTTGTATTAACAAGAATACAATATTAACAAATATACTCTTAAGGACCTTAAATATCAAAAGATGGTATTATACTCATTTGGTTACATAATTGAAAAAAACTTTAATAGATTAAACCTTGGTTACGACGTTCATCATCATAAACTTAGTAGGAGTTTACAATTTTTAGATATTTTCTTTTTACAAACATATACTTTGTATCAAAGTTGTCAATACATAGTCATAGCCTCTAATTACTCTCTCCAATGTGAAAAGCTGAATAAAGTTCTTTATCTATAGTATTTCAAGAGTAGTGTTACATACTCTTCTCTACTTCCATATTGTTTGACATTTCTTTAAGATGTATTTCCTTACCTAATTTTATTTGAGTTTCTTTTTCACTTCATTTTATGTATGCCTTTCAAGTTACTTTATTTTATTTTTATTTCTACAACTTCTTTTTATTTTAATTTTATCCTTTTTCATCCAATAAAAAATATTAGAATAGAAAACTTACAAAATAAAAATAATCAAAATCAAAAAGTTAAAATCAAATTAATTAAAAAAACATAAAAACATAATAATGATGAAAATTACTTGTGCCTAAATTTTGTGAACCTACCTACTTCCTATAGCCCTAGAAGAGTTATTAAACAAAGGATGGGAGTGATGTGTTGTGCTAATTAAAAAATAATATACAAAGAAGATTATTTATATTTTTTAAAGAAGAAGACATCAAAAAATTGTTGGAAAAAAAAGAGAGATTTTTCGAAAAAAAAAACTAAGAAAATTTGAAAGAGAGAGACACACATTCAATCAAAATGCAAAAAATTAGAAGAGACAATTAGTAATTCATTTGAGATCCAATAAAAATAAAATTTAAAGAGCAAAAAATAAACTAAACTTTATAAATACAAATAACTCTTTTTTTTCTTTATCTCAATTTAGTGTTGTTAAATGGTGATTATGATGACACCATGAAAAAATAGTGTGGCAACTTTAGTTCCATTCATGATTTGTTATCCAAATTTTAACTTTTCATGAAGTTGCTTGTCATTCAAGCTTTTGCAAGTCATAAGTATGGTGTCATGAAATTTTTTTTTTAATTTTAAAAGGTAATTCATTTCATCCTTATATTTTCTTGTCATTTTTTAACTCGACTACCTACAACCATCTCTTTTTTTTTTTTCCTTTCTCTCTTTTCTTTTTTTTTTTTTTTTGCAATTTTCTTTTTACTTGAATTATGTTTTTTTCTCTCGCTGTCTTTTTTTTAATTTTGTTTTCTATTCCTCTTTTTATCTATTTTTTTTCTCTTTCTCTTATTATTTTTATTTTTTTCTACTTTTCCCATTCTTCATTTCTCTATTATTCTCTGATATATTATCATGATCTAAAAAAAATGATTTATCAAGTCCTAAAAGTTCATATTACTAAAACATAATTGCTTCAAAACGTATAAGCTTTAAAACAAAACAGTTATTAAATCAGGTTGGGATGAATCTTGTACATCTCTAACCATAATGTTTTTTATAGGAGACAATCTTGCACAAGTCAAGTAAGATTACCATACATGGCAAAACTCTTATTATGAATATTTAACATAGATGTATGCATAGAAACTCAAATTTAAACTATCGGTTAAGTTGGTTAGGTTAAATTGTTGAAGTGTTAATGACCAAATAAGAGCTTATGCAGCTTAAAATAATTCTCATTTTACAAGCTAATTTTTAGAGTTAAGTCTTACTCTAAATTTAAGATGATTTCAGACTTTATTATAGATATGATATTGGCTCAAGTTTTTTTATTTTTTATTTTTTTGTTTAGTACAATTAACCTAACCTGTGAAATTTTCAACACAACTTTCCCAATACTACCTACTTGATCCTGCAGCTTTACCATTGTAATATTATAAAAAAAAACAACCAGTCCTATAATTTCATCCTCCAAATCTTCACTTATAAGCTAAGTTTTTAGGTTAAGCTGAGCCTTGGAGTAAAATAGCATGCCAACCGATACACACCCTCAATGGTAACATAAAAATTATATGAAAATGAAATAAAATTCTTGAAGGATTAATTTAAAAATCATGAAGTTTTTAGAGAAAAATTATTTGCGGCTATCTAGCACAGTAGCACTATATGCCTTAATTAAACCAAAGTCAAATGTATTAAATGAAAGGAGCGAAAACAGAATTGATTGCTTGCAAACAAGAACACGAAATAAGAGACATAAAATGCCATTAAAAATTAGCTCAATTTGGGTTACAGATGTGATGTTCCACTTTGCACAGACAAACATCTTTTTGAAAAAATAGCAAAAAAAATTACGAAGATGTTAATGATGTCGCACCCTTGTATTTTAGTATCCAGAAATTATTGGTGGAGGAGGTGACCTATACTCAGATCCAAACTGTGGTGGGAGGAAAACATCATCCCATGTTGGTGGTGATGGGGAATGGACGGGGGGAGGAGGTGAGTGAACTGGTGGAGGTGGAGAATGAACTGGTGGCGGTGGTGGAGAGTAAACGGGTGGTGGGGGTGGGGAATGGACTGGGGGAGGAGGTGAGTGAACTGGTGGAGGTGGAGAATGAACTGGTGGCGGTGGTGGAGAGTAAACGGGTGGTGGTGGAGGAGGAGAGTGGACTGGTGGTGGTGGAGGAGGAGGAGAGTAGACTGGTGGAGGTGGAGGAGGAGAGTGGACTGGTGGTGGTGGAGGAGGAGAGTAGACTGGTGGAGGTGGAGAGTAAACAGGTGGTGGTGGAGAGTGAACAGGTGGAGGTGGTGGTGGTGGAGAATTAACTGGAGGAGGCGGTGAGTAAACTGGGGGTGGTGGAGAATGGACTGGAGGAGGTGGAGAGTAAACTGGGGGTGGTGGAGAGTGGACTGGTGGAGGAGGAGAGTGGACTGGTGGTGGGGGTGAATGAACTGGGGGAGGTGGTGGTGGAGAGTGGACAGGGGGAGGTGGAGGAGAGTGAACTGGTGGTGGTGGTGGAGAGTGGACAGGTGGAGGTGGGGAGTGGACTGGTGGGGGAGGAGAGTGGACGGGAGGTGGAGGGGAGTGAACTGGTGGTGGTGGTGGAGAGTGGACTGGAGGAGGAGGAGAGTGGACTGGAGGTGGTGGTGAGTGGACAGGTAGAGGTGGTGGTGAGTGGACAGGTGGAGGTGGAGGACAACGAACTCGAGGTGGGTGTGTTGGTGGCTTAGCCTTTGGTGTAGGTGATGGAGTTGGCTTTGGTGTGGAGGGGACATGCCTTTTCTCATTGTCATTACCACTGCCTCCATCACATTGCTTGCTACAGTCCACAGGGCGAGTTATCACTGCCAAGCATTCCTTCGCTGTCTTTTGATTCCTCCTTCCTGATAAACAATTTTTTGAGTCATCCACAGCAACCAATGATTTGGAAGAAGACACACAAGCTTGAGCTTCCCCATTGAAGTAGTTGTGAGAGAATGTGAAGTTTTTCAACGAGGGAAGTTGGCAAATGGTATTTGACACATAGCCCCTCAGCTTGTTGTGGGCAATGTCAATGACTTCCACATTCTTCAGTCCTGATAGGTTAGGCAAAGTCCCTGTAAACCCATTGTTGCTAACATCCAAAACAGTCACATTTTCTAACAGTCCAAACTCTTGAGGGAAGCAACCTCCAAGGCCATTTCCCATGAACACAACCTCATTCAAGTTCTCCATCTTTCCTATTGACTTCGGAATGCAGCCTGTGAACTTGTTGTTAGCAAAGGTTACAACCGAGGCCTTGGATTTTCCTAGAGTCTCTGGGATCATGGATGTGAAACGGTTGTTGTTCAAAAATATTGCATCAAGATCCTTCTCAAATAGCTCTGGAGGTAATTGACCTTCAAAGTCATTGAATCTGATATCCAAGTACTTCAGGTTTGGCCATTTGAGGACCACAGAAGGAAAACCACCAACAAAACGGTTGTTACTTATATCAAATTCATGCATATGTGTGAAATTCTCTAAGATCTTTGGAACGATTCCACAGAACCTATTGGAGTTAATGTGGAAAAGTGCAATATCTTCCAAATGAAGTAACTCTTCTGGGAGGCGCCCAGCAATGTCCCCATTGTTAAGATCAATGCCAGCAACTACATCCAATGTGGGGTCGTGAGGGGCAGGAGCACAAAACACACCATTGTAGGAGCAAACATCTTCACCAACCCAATTACCAGTTATGTTCAAAGGGTCAGAGTAAATAGCCTCTTTCCATGCTTGAAGAGCAACATGGGCTTTCTTGAGCCTTTCATTTGGACAAGTATTGCTAAATGGAACATCGTCAATTTCTGGTGCTGGTGCAGGTGCTGGAACATCGCCAACTTCTGGTGCTGGTGCAGGTGCTGGAACATCACTAATTTCTGGGAAAGTTGTAGGTTCTGTTGGATCTAAAGGAATACCTCCTACTCCAAAATGAGCATAAGAAAAAGTTGAGAGAGAAGATACAAAAAGGGAAAACAAGAGGTAGCAACCTAAGGCCTTGTTTGAACAAGGATGAGCCATTGCTGACCACCTTGGTTGGCCCAAGGCAACTTAGGATGATGTCGGAAAGAACAAAGGGTGGTTTATATTGAGGAGGAAGAGATGAAGTTTGTTTTGTGGAAAGCCGTTAAAGGATTGTGGAAAAATAGCTTGTTGCTACTTTTAGTTCCGAATGTCATGCACTCTCTAAGCTATAACCTCAAATTTTGGCATGCATGTACGTTGTGATCATGATGAAATAACCTGTGTTATAAAACAAGTCAACTAATAATAAATCGATTGACTTGGTCGTTTTTCAACAAACTAAGTGCTAATTTTGCATTGATTTCAAATATAATATCAACGTTAATTTTCAAATGAAATAGTGATAAACAAGGGAGAGATATATTTGTATTACAGCTATATTTTATATATATATAATTAAAAATAGAAAACTTATTAAATATAAATCATCAAAATCTAAAAGTTAAAAAAATAATTAAAAAATTCATAAAACTAAGAGAATTTTAGAGCTCTTATTATTTTAAAAGAAATACACCATAAAAAAAGTTAAAATAATTAAAAAAAATATTACATATATATATCAATCAAAATTTGTTTAAAAAAATGTCAATTTTTATTTAATTCTTTTAGTTCTTACACATAAGTCAATTGTAACCGATCTTCTTAACTAATGACATTGTTGAAGTTTAAAGTTGATTATAATATACTGTAGCACAAATATTGATTATAATAAATTTTTATTACTATGTAAAATTCGATTATAATATATTTTTTGGACACTTTATTATAATAAAAGTTTATTTTAATATATTTTAGTTTAAAAAAAAAGTTGATTATAGTAGATTTTAGAGATTAGTATGTTTTGAAAATGTTTTATATTATTCTTACTTAAATATTTAAGATTATTTTTCTTATAAAATGATATTTATTTTTTATATTTTAAATATATATTTGAATATTTCAAAAATTATTTTTCTTTAATTTTAAAATTTGTAATTAAACTTTTTTTATAAACTAAAAGCATACTAAAATGATAGCTAATATGAAACGGGGAAAAACAACTAATTGCGCAGATTTATGGAATTAACGTAACGTGTCTCTAACTAATTAGTCATATAAATTCTTACTACTACAAGAACTATAGCAACATCAGTATCACAGCATGTCCCTGTCCGAATCACACACAAGTCTATACTTAAGCTCACAACAGAAAACACTGTATATCACTATGTTACATAAATTAATTGTCAATGATGTGTGACTGATAGCATTTAAAGATGACCCATCAAATTAGTTTGACTTTTTGAATTTGTGTTTAAATTGAAATTTGTATAGGTTTATAAATTTTTAATATATTTCTAAATACATTTAATTATTTTTTTTATTGTTAGCATATATAATTTTAGATTTAAATTTTTATTTATTTATTATAATATTTTCAATAATTTAATTTAATTAAATATAAAATGAGAATGACTAAAATTTTTCACACTAATTTTTTCTCTATTTATCTCACCATTAATTATAATATATAAAAAATATGAACATAACATTTTTTTCATCTCACTATGATTTTTATATTTAATCTCAAAGTTTTTATAACATGATAATGTAGAATCAAAAGTTATATATTTATAATATGAGACATTTTCAATGCTACAATCAACTTTTATTTTGAATTAAAATATATTATAGTTGACTTATATATTGCTATAGTGTCCATAGAAATCTATTATAATAGAATTCTCTATTGTAGTAAAAATATACTATAATAGATTTCTACAAGATCATTATATCAAAACGTAGGATTAAGCAAGTTAATTATAATCAACTTCTATATAAATTTATTTAAATTAATTTCTATTAAATACAAAATTAAGATATTTTTTAAATAGATTTTGACCGAAATCTATGTCTAATATTTTATTTTTTTTATTTTTTTTATATTAAAAAACCTCAAATTATTGTCTCTAACTTGAAAAGTTGAATAAAGCTCTTTAACTATACTATTTCAAGAGGGATGTTTTGAGCCTTTTTTTCATTTTATTTTATTTATACCTTTACTTTCTATAACTTCTTTTTATTTTAATTTTATCCTTTTTCACCCAATACAAAAAAAATAAAAATAAAAAATTTATAAAATAAAAATCATCAAAATCTAAAAATTAAAATCAAATTAATTAAAAAATCATTAAACTAATCAATAATGACGATAATTATTTGTGCCTAAACTTTATGAACCTACCCCCTCAACCTACTTCCTAGAGCACTAGAAGATTTTATGAAAAAAGGATGGAAGGGATGTGTTGTACTAATCAAAAGGGTAACACACAAAAGAAGATTATTCATTTTTTTTAAAATAATTAAGAAGATTTCAAAATGTTATAAAAAGAATAGATTTTTTAAGTATAAAAAATAAAGTGAACAATTGGAAACAAAGAGGCACACATTCAATCAAAATGCAAAAAATTAAAAGAGGCTATTAGTAATTTTTTTGGGATCTAATGAAAATAAAATTCAAAAAGAAAAAATAAACCAAACTTTATAAATACAAGTAACTTTTCTTCTTTCTTTATCTCAATTTAGTGTTGTTAAATAGTGATTATGATGACACCATGACAGAATGATGTGACAGTTTTAGATCCATTTATTATTTATCATCTAAATTTTAATTTTTCATGGAGTTACCCACCATTTAAACTTTTGCAACCATCATAGATATGACATTATGGAAGAATTTTTTATTTTTTGCATTTCAAACGTGATTCAAGGTTTTTAAGGCCTTTTTTTTTATCATTATATGTTCTTCTTCTAAATGTCACATGTTATCCTTCACCTCTCTATGCTACTACCCCACCACACACTTGTTTTTCCAACTTTAACTCCGACCACATGCAACCATTATTTAAATTCTAGCACCAACTATATAAGTTTTGGTGATCACATATTTTAGGTATTTTTTATTTTCATTTTTTGTTGTTTTGTTCTATACTCTTTTACTTTACCTTTCTTTTCTTTTTGTTATTTTCTTTTACTTCAATTATGTTCTTTCTCTCTTTGTCTTTTCTTTTCTATTCCTCCTTTCATCTATTTTTCTCTCTATCTTTTTCTTCCTTTTGATTCTCTATTTTTTCTAATTTCTAGGATATTTATAAGTCCAACTCAAAATCAAAACAAAACATTTTCAAATCCTTACTTAAGGAATTGTAGTTTTGATATTGGATAGAAATTATGTCATACTATGTCAAAGAATGTAACCAACAAAATTCAATGTAACTAATGTGTTAAAAATTTGAAAACAATATTTAATGGCAAAGAAAGATAATATTTATCTTGCCTAAAATATTTTAAAAAAAATTTAAATAAGAGTTGTGAACCTATTTGAAGAATAAGAAGAATAATGAAGAATAGTGATGAAGATAATATAAATAAGGGAAGATTGAGAAATTAATAAGTTTAAGCACCTAATAATGCTAATGACAAGAAAAAGGTTGCATTGAAAGGTCCTATTATTTTTTTATTTTATTTTTGGTAGATAGTTGAAAAGTGTAATTGTGAAGAAAAAAAATGAAAGGAGAATTTGAAGCAAACAAGTATAAGAGAGACGTGTGGTAAAGAACTTACCGCAAGGGTCCACTACTATATAACTCGATCTTGAGCTTAATAATAAGTGTGTCTAGTTATAAACATAATTGGAGTGTCTTTAAACAAGTATTTATCATTTTATTTTTATTTTTGATTACACAAGTATTAAACAAGTGTCTTTAAACATTGTTCTTAAATAAAAGTTGTCCCAAAATAGCATGCACATCAGGTGTCCAGTTTTAATATCTAATTGCAATATGTTAACAGAATAATTTGTACATATTAAAAAAGACGTTTCAAAGTTGTGTCAACAGAATACTTGCCATAAGTACATCTAAAATAACCATAATATATTTTGTTCATTGTTCTGGGATAACAACTCATCAAAATTACATTCACACCAACAAAATAACATGTAGGTTTCCAGTATTAATATCTAGCTGTGCAATCTGAGCAACAGAATAATGTGTACATGTAAACAAAGAGGTTTAACATAAGTTGTGTCAACATAATCTTTTTCATAAGTACATCTAAAATAACCTTAATATGTTTTGTACATTGTTCTGGGATAAAAGCTGTCCAAAATAACATCTAATTGTGCAAAATAACATGCAGTTGTCTAGTGTTAACATTTAACTGTGCAAAATAACACTAACTTTGCAATTACATCCAACTGACAGCAATATATCATGGATTACATCCAATTGTTTTGTATATAATGTTGCATTTGTACATCCAAAAAAGAAAAATCCTTATTCCCTCTAAGTTAAGCTAGTTGCATCAAGATGTGCAGTAGAAATTGGGTCAGCAACAACAGCTTTAGATTGGCTTGCAGTAAGAACTGATGATTGTGATTCTTGTGGAGTGTTTGTTGAACCAAGTTGTGCTCCCCTTGGTCTTCCTCTTCCTCTTCCTCTTTTTATTCCTGTTTCAGGCACTTGGTTTGATGGTTCCTATAGAAAAAAAGACAAATTGTTAATAATATGAAAACAAAATATAAAATCAGAATGCTATCACTATTAAATTGTTTATCTACTTGCTAAGCTGAGGTGTTTGGACAAGTAGTCCTATTATGTCCAAACACTTGGCAATTGTTGTATTTGTTTTGGCCTACCTAGTCCCTTCTTGTAAGAAGGTGGTAAAATTACATCCTCTTCTATTTGTGGCCATCTATTTTGACCATTAATTGGACTAATATAATGGTCATAACATCTCAAATATACTTCCTTACTATAATATTGATGAGCATAATAGATTAGATTTTCTCCCTTATAAGAAATTGCAACACAAGCATGTCTACATGAAATACCAACCAAACTCCAAAAGTTACATGAACAATTATTTAAGGTGAGGTCAACAACAAATTTTTCTGTAAAAAAAGTATGTGTGACCTCAAATTTTAACTCCCCAACCCATGTAGGAAACCGATTTGC